TTGGTGGAGAGCTGCAGAGATGGTGGTTCTCAGGCCTGATTGGTGGAGAGCTGCAGAGATGGTTGTTCTTCTGGAAGGTTCTCAGGCCTGATTGGTGGAGAGCTGCAGAGATGGTTGTTCTTCTGGAAGGTTCTCAGGCCTGATTGGTGGAGAGCTGCAGAGATGGTTGTTCTTCTGGAAGATTCTCAGGCCTGATTGGTGGAGAGCTGCAGAGATGGTTGTTCTTCTGGAAGGTTCTCAGGCCTGATTGGTGGAGAGCTGCAGAGATGGTTGTTCTTCTTGAAGGTTCTCAGGCCTGATTGGTGGAGAGCTGCAGAGATGGTGGTTCTCAGGCCTGATTGGTGGAGAGCTGCAGAGATGGTTGTTCTTCTGGAAGGTTCTCAGGCCTGATTGGTGGAGAGCTGCAGAGATGGTTGTTCTTCTGGAAGGTTCTCAGGCCTGATTGGTGGAGAGCTGCAGAGATGGTTGTTCTTCTGGAAGATTCTCAGGCCTGATTGGTGGAGAGCTGCAGAGATGGTTGTTCTTCTGGAAGGTTCTCAGGCCTGATTGGTGGAGAGCTGCAGAGATGGTTGTTCTTCTGGAAGGTTCTCAGGCCTGATTGGTGGCGTTCTGCAGAGATGGTTGTTCTTCTGGAAGGTTCTCAGGCCTGATTGGTGGAGAGCTGCAGAAATGGTTGTTCTTCTGGAAGGTTCTCAGGCCTGATTGGTGGAGAGCTGCAGAGATGGTTGTTCTTCTGGAAGGTTCTCAGGCCTGATTGGTGGCGTTCTGCAGAGATGGTTGTTCTTCTGGAAGGTTCTCAGGCCTGATTGGTGGAGAGCTGCAGAGATGGTTGTTCTTCTGGAAGGTTCTCAGGCCTGATTGGTGGCGTTCTGCAGAGATGGTGGTTCTCCTGGAAGGTTCCCAGGCCTGATTAGTGGAGAGCTGCAGAGATGGTTGTTCTTCTGGAAGGTTCTCAGGCCTGATTGGTGGAGAGCTGCAGAGATGGTGGTTCTCAGACCTGATTGGTGGAGAGCTGCAGAGATGGTGGTTCTTCTGGAAGGTTCTCAGGCCTGATTGGTGGAGAGCTGCAGAGATGGTGGTTCTTCTGGAAGGTTCTCAGGCCTGATTGGTGGAGAGCTGCAGAGATGGTGGTTCTTCTGGAAGGTTCTCAGGCCTGATTGGTGGAGAGCTGCAGAGATGGTTGTTCTTCTGGAAGGTTCTCAGGCCTGATTGGTGGAGAGCTGCAGAGATGGTGGTTCTTCTGGAAGGTTCTCAGGCCTGATTGGTGGAGAGCTGCAGAGATGGTTGTTCTTCTGGAAGGTTCTCAGGCCTGATTGGTGGAGAGCTGCAGAGATGGTGGTTCTTCTGGAAGGTTCTCAGGCCTGATTGGTGGAGAGCTGCAGAGATGGTTGTTCTTCTGGAAGGTTCTCAGGCCTGATTGGTGGAGAGCTGCAGAGATGGTGGTTCTTCTGGAAGGTTCTCAGGCCTGATTGGTGGAGAGCTGCAGAGATGGTTGTTCTTCTGGAAGGTTCTCAGGCCTGATTGGTGGCGTTCTGCAGAGATGGTTGTTCTTCTGGAAGGTTCTCAGGCCTGATTGGTGGAGAGCTGCAGAGATGGTTGTTCTTCTGGAAGGTTCTCAGGCCTGATTGGTGGCGTTCTGCAGAGATGGTTGTTCTTCTGGAAGGTTCTCAGGCCTGATTGGTGGAGAGCTGCAGAGATGGTTGTTCTTCTGGAAGGTTCTCAGGCCTGATTGGTGGCGTTCTGCAGAGATGGTTGTTATTCTGGAAGGTTCTCAGGCCTGATTGGTGGAGAGCTGCAGAGATGGTGGTTCTCAGGCCTGATTGGTGGAGAGCTGCAGAGATGGTGGTTCTTCTGGAAGGTTCTCAGGCCTGATTGGTGGAGAGCTGCAGAGATGGTGGTTCTTCTGGAAGGTTCTCAGGCCTGATTGGTGGAGAGCTGCAGAGATGGTTGTTCTTCTGGAAGGTTCTCAGGCCTGATTGGTGGAGAGCTGCAGAGATGGTTGTTCTTCTGGAAAGTTCTCAGGCCTGATTGGTGGAGAGCTGCAGAGATGGTGGTTCTTCTGGAAGGTTCTCAGGCCTGATTGGTGGAGAGCTGCAGAGATGGTGGTTCTTCTGGAAGGTTCTCAGGCCTGATTGGTGGAGAGCTGCAGAGATGGTTGTTCTTCTGGAAGGTTCTCAGGCCTGATTGGTGGAGAGCTGCAGAGATGGTGGTTCTTCTGGAAGGTTCTCAGGCCTGATTGGTGGAGAGCTGCAGAGATGGTGGTTCTCAGGCCTGATTGGTGGAGAGCTGCAGAGATGGTTGTTCTTCTGGAAGGTTCTCAGGCCTGATTGGTGGCGTCCTGCAGAGATGGTGGTTCTTCTGGAAGGTTCTCAGGCCTGATTGGTGGAGAGCTGCAGAGATGGTTGTTGTTCTTCTGGAAGGTTCTCAGGCCTGATTGGTGGAGAGCTGCAGAGATGGTTGTTCTTCTGGAAAGTTCTCAGGCCTGATTGGTGGCGTCCTGCAGAGATGGTGGTTCTTCTGGAAGGTTCTCAGGCCTGATTGGTGGAGAGCTGCAGAGATGGTTGTTGTTCTTCTGGAAGGTTCTCAGGCCTGATTGGTGGAGAGCTGCAGAGATGGTTGTTCTTCTGGAAGGTTTTCCTCTCTCCAGAGAGAAACATTGGAGCTCTGCCAGAGGGACCATCGGGTTCTCTGTCTCCTCCCTGACTTAGGCCCTTCTGCCCCGATCGCTCAGCTCTAGGAAGAGTCCTGGTGGTTCCACACTTCTTCCATTTACGGATGATGGAGGCACATCTCAAGGATGATCAGTGTAAACCGGATGAACCTGAGCTCAATTTTGAGTATCATTTGATTTAATCCATTTTGGAATAAGGCTGTAACAACAAAATGTGGAAAAAATGAAGCGCTGTGAATACTCTCCGGATGGGCTGTAGCTGGATGCCACGTTTGTGGACAGTGGTTAAAACACTGTGGTCGTTGATCTCTCGAGTTCTCATACTTGAGATGATGGGGTTACATGTATTAAAATGATGGATTTACATGCATTACAAATATGAGTTGAAGACTTTGCATATGAACAACCTCTACGTTGTGACTGGGTAACTTCAGAGTTGAGTTGAACTCTGACCCTTTCAGCACAATGCAGATGAGGGACAGTTTCGGTAATGAAGGTTTGGTCAATATTTTTCAAAAATACAGATACTTTGTTTTCTTTTGCATCTTTGGTCATACTGAGAAAACAACAACCCTGGGCATCGTTCTTCACAGTCAGTAAAAGCGTCTCTTTATTGTCCGTGGTCACTAAGAACCGTTTACAGCTTGTAAACAGTCAGTGTCTTAAGGACTGTTTTACAGGTGCATGTGCAATAATTGTTCATGGTTCATTGAACAAGCATGAAAAATATTGTATAATTTTCAAATTAGGATTTTACAAAATTATCTTTAAAATACAGTAAGCTAAAAAAGGGACATTTGTTTTTTTGCTGTGTTTATATATGTGTATCTGTATTCTTCCGGATCTGCAGCGTGTGTGAGAGCAGTGTGTGTGAGAGCAGTGTTTCCTCTGAGCTTCAGCTGATATTGTGTGAAACTCCCTCTGCTGGTCTGTCACAGAAACTGCACCATCACACGATCACACGAATCCACCAGCTGCCAAAGCATCTGATTTTGAGGCGACTCCTTTTTTCTTTTTGCAGACCTATGGATACTGACAATAACTTCATATTAATGGGGTTTAAGTGTTTTGGCAGTGAATGTGACTTGCAATCACAATTGAATATTTCCTCGTTTTTTTTTTTTTTTTTTTAAAGTAAGTTGCACCTGTAACCAGTGCTGATGTTCCCGTCCGCTGGCAATGGCCTCCTTTCAGGATTTAATCAGCATCAGAATACAGATGGCGACAGGAGGATTAATCGCTAATCTCACTGTCGTCTGCCGCTGATCAGAGCACAGATAAAACACGAATGTCTGTCGATGCCCAGATCACGGACATGCCTTCACTATCACAGATGCGTGGATCTGTCCCAAAAATACCATCATAATCTGGATTATAGGTCATAATCGATGTGCAAAATGATCAGAAAACACTGAATTTGTCTCAAAGAAACCAATGAAAGGGTAAACTAACATAATGTGAGATTAATGTTTAAGAGCATATCTGAATCTGAAGTTTGGGGATTCAACAATATTCTGCTATAAAGTTCAGAGATATTTCTAATGTCTGTAGATCTCACGAGGGCTGTAACGATACCACATTATTGCGATACTCCAAACCAAACAGTAAAAGTTAAAACACATACTGTTGTAATGTAATGTACTGCAAATTGATTAAAATGCTACATTTGGTATTACATTGGGTGTGTAAATGAATAGGCTTGGAGTTGGTGCTGGAAACCCAATAGTGACACCAGAATAAAAATATTGATGATTCTGAAGCTGAAACTACAGGATTATTTCACTGACCAGATATTTCAAATAATGTCGGACACTTTTTACTGGTAACATCAGACATTACCAGGACCCACAAATATTCACCCATTGCATAATTATACATTATAATCATAGTATAGTAGTTTAATGTAGTACTGACTTGAATTTTCTGACACATACATTTTCATGGGTAAATTTGTACACAATACAGATTGTTGCATTTTTGTATTGCGATATATTGTCACACCCCTAGATATCACTGTACCAAAGATAAAAACAGTCCTGCGTAATGTTGGTAAATTGTCTTATAAAGTGGCGCTTGATGTCTGTTGCAAAGCAGTAAACTGAACAATTAAGATGTAGTAAAATGCAAATGCAAATAAAGTTTATTGAACCACGAGTGCCAAACTTTTAGAACACAAGAATCACAGTGAAACAAGCATTCTCAGGTCTGCTGTGAGCTAATTTGTAAAATAAATAGACAAAAATATTGTTATTATAATTACACCGAATGCTGAACTGAGTAAGAAGATCTGGATTAGCCCGCATCTGTTAAGAAACATTAAATCACTGTCTGACGCTTGACATGCAATTCAGTTGAAAACAATCCAAAAGTTTTTTTCCGCTTTTAAACAAATGAATGCAAAAGAAACGAGCAACACTTTATTTAGCTACATCTTCTTCTCCAGTCCAATCTCATGTCGCCTTGTCTCGTTAAACTACTTCCTTTTGTTTCCGCCATTGGCCAGAATCATCACCAGCCGCATGAAGATGTTGAGCGTGTCCATGTAAATGCCCATGCATCTGCAAGAGAAAGACACGTGAGCGGGATGCGGTTCGCAGCGTGTGACAAATTTGTCAAATGTTTAATTTAGGTTTCCACTCCAATGGTATAAAAACTGATAAAGTTTAGTAGACGGATTCAGATGATTATTGAGTCTCCTTTTCTGCCAGTCCTGTTTTCAGATCACTGAGATTCTCACCTGGATTAGCTATAGGGGAGACTTCCACCTTTTGTCTTTAATGGCTCTGGGATGGCTCTTAGGAACCAGAGTTCCTGGCCACTATCAGCATTTGAATAGTTATGCTGATTCAATTGGATTAGTAATGCCCTCAGAGTAGGGTGTGTTCCTACTTCATTTGCATGCTTTGTTTCAGAGGGACCAGGGTTCCTGCACACTTTTGAAAGTCAAATTTAAGGCTTTTTAAGACCTTTTTAAGACCTTAAGAAATCAAAATTAATACCGTACATTAGGGCTGTGCAGTATTAACAAAAATATATCTTGATATTTTCAACGTTTTGTTGATAATAATTAGATGATATTTTACTGATTGTGTTTTTGTGCTGGTGCCATTGCTGGTTTAGGTCTGTTGTTGACAGCTGACTCACGAAGATATTCATATTTTTCATATTCTATGCAGTGGTCAGTTCACAGCAGTGACAGAAATTAATATTTTAATTAAGGGGCAATATTTGCCACCTTAAATTGATTTTTTCAGGGGCATTTTCACCTATATATGGAAATTTTTTCTAAACTTATTTAGAGTTATGCATCACCTTTAATGTCAAATACTATCATTCAAATTAAATTATACAGTAATTATACAATAATACTTAATTATATAATAATCATACAGTACCACTGTTACCAGTCAAATTAAATCATTCAATCAAAATCCATCTTTGCAGTGCAGAGGTGACAGAAGCGGCATCAGAAGTGGCATTAATATATTTACACTCCATTTACAACTGCATAAATAAAGCTATGAGATATATAGCCTATTTTTAAATCAATATTCAATATTTAAATATGAAATGATTTCTAATTTTAACATTTTATTTAAAGGGTACTTTAAATATGAAACCGCAGCGGCAAATCACTGTTGTGAGTAAGTGAGTTGAGGGAGTCATTCATTCAACCGATTCGTTCAAACGGCTGATTCATTCGGGAAAGAAGCAAGTGATTCGTTCAAAACGCGGATTTCAGTCAAGAAATAATCGCTGTCGGTTGCATTGAGACTCTGCTACTGTTTCATTTTGAAATTATAGTCGGCGAAATAAAGGGAAAACAAACAATATTGACAATATTGTGTCTAAAAGTAACTCAATGTTAACTTATTGTTAATTTAACTGTTGTATAACATAAATATCACACTTGGAATTGTGCACGGGAAAACGGCACTCTTTCTGATGTGATATAAGAACATAATATGATATAAATATAAGACAAAAACTAATTTGGGGACATACCAGTTACACTGCACACATCACGCAGTGAAAGCACGAGACAAATGCGATGTCAGCTCGCAGTGCCTCGTATATTGTTAAAACAATGATTACAATATCATAATAGACAATACACATCGCACACCATACGCACATAAAGAATGAACTTACAACTGAACTGACATTTACGACCTTTCTTCTCCTTCTCTCCTCTCGCGTGCAGGAGACAGTTATGCTGCCGCGACTCGCGAGTGACGCGAAATGTCACGTGAATTAGCAAATCCACAAAGATAGAATAATACATTTAAAAAAATACGTACACTAATTAGATAGTTTTAATTTGGAAAGCTTTTAGATATGTCTAAGTCAAAGTGTCATCTAAAATTTAAGACCTTTCATAAGTAAAAATAAGACTTTATAAGACTTTTTATGGTCTTAAATTTTAAAAATCTAATTTAAGACTTTTTAAGACTTTTTAAGGATCCGCGGGAACCCTGGGGACTCCACCCCAATGTAAACTCCTCCCCCTCTAAATGTATAAATTGCAAGGGAACCTTTCCCTTAGTTGGACGAGATTGAGATGCTACAGCGACCTAATAAAGAACATCTGCTTTAAAAGATACCTCTCCGTCTCCTGGTCTGCTCTTCTGACTTTTCTACACTTTAAGAAGAAAAAGTTCACAACAGACGTCATGAAAGAGACGTGTTCTTCCACTTGTCCACAGAAAACACTTACGCATTAATGGGGTCATATTTCTGAACGCCATAAAGAGGGTGTGTCTCTGCGCGCTTGATGACCTTCTGTGTGTCGTACAGCAGGAACATGCTGAACAGCAGCAGTCCTCCGTAGACGGCCACGGAGTAGAGCCCGGCCCCGAGCGCCGAGCTGGGCGGCAGGAACATGGAGCCTGTGGAGAACAGCAGAGATCAGATCCTGCGGCCTCTGAGAACACAGAGTCCAGCGCGAGTGAGCCGTACCCAGAGACGAGGCGAACACGACCCCGAAGCCCACGGCCAGCGGGCCGCCCATGCTCAGGAACTTCTCGCTGGGAGCACACATGGCCACCGTCGACAACCCTCCCACAATGCCTGCGGTGTACCAGGCGGCTCGCATCACCAGGGGTCCGCCCAGCAGCGTCAGCGGGGCCACGACGGCCCCCATCACTCCTGCACACAGGGATGCACTTCAGGAGCGTCATGTGACACACAGGAAAACACTTCAATACACTTCATTAGAGTCATGTGACACACAGGAAAACACTTCAATACACTTCATTAGAGTCATGTGACACACAGGAAAACACTTCAATACACTTCATTAGAGTCATGTGACAGGCACACAGGAATACACTTCACACTTCATTAGAGTCATGTGACAGGCACACAGGAATACACTTCATTAGTCATGTGACACAGGAATACGCTTCATTACAGTCATGTGACAGGCACACAGGAATACGCTTCTATACCACTTCAGGAGGGTCATGTGACAAGAGCTGCGCTGTTCGTCCACACAGGAGTGATGATGACTTCATGTGAGAGCTTGTATTTGCCTTTTGAAATGTTCTGCAGTGCTCAACTAAAGGAAAGCATTAATCTGAACACAGACTACAGCGCCCTCTAGGGGTCAGTGACAGCACTAGCGTTCCGGCTCTCTGTACCTGCATGCAGGGCCCAGGCCAGGTGTTTGGGCAGGGGACTGTTCTCGTACGAGATCGACCTCACCAACATTCCTGCGCCGATCATAGCAGCGAACGTCGCGCCGATAGCCTGCGGACCAGCCATACGTTTGTCACAGCACTGATCAAGAAATTCTACCAATCTATAAATTCAGCAAAATACAGGAAACGCCACTTACATTTTTAATATTCCTCTCAATATAAATATTAAACTACAAGCTGGATCATTATAATACTTCAACAGGTACAGTATAATAAGAGTACGCCTGACAGTGTGTGCTGGCAGGAAGAATTGCTGTCAAGTAAAATGTATTTTAAGGGTTATGAAACCCCAAAACAATTTTCGAGACGTGAACAGATATGTACAGGTTGCACATCACTGAAAACACAAAGCACTCATAAATGTTATCAATAAGTGGAAATTGGTTATTTTTGCATTTTCCCGAGCAATTTCGTTCTTCCGGGTTGAAAAGTCTAGGCGACGTGTCTGAATGTGAGGTAGAAGTGCCCTCGGAGCGTGTGATTGGCTGAATGTGAGGTAGAAGTGCCCTCGGAGCGTGTGATTGGCTGAATGTGAGGTAGAAGTGCCCTCGGAGCGTGTGATTGGCTGAATGTGAGGTAGAAGTGCCCTCGGAGCGTGTGATTGGCTGAATGTGAGGTAGAAGTGCCCTCGGAGCGTGTGATTGGCTGAATGTGAGGTAGAAGTGCCCTCGGAGCGTGTGACTGGCTGAATGTGAGGTAGAAGTGCCCTCGGAGCGTGTGACTGGCTGAATGTGAGGTAGAAGTGCCCTCGGAGCGTGTGATTGGCTGAATGTGAGGTACAAGTGCCCTCGGAGCGTGTGATTGGCTGAATGTGAGGTACAAGTGCCCTCGGAGCGTGTGATTGGCTGAATGTGAGGTACAAGTGCCCTCGGAGCGTGTGATTGGCTGAATGTGAGGTAGAAGTGCCCTCGGAGCGTGTGATTGGCTGAATGTGAGGTAGAAGTGCCCTCGGAGCGTGTGATTGGCTGAATGTGAGGTAGAAGTGCCCTCGGAGCGTGTGATTGGCTGAATGTGAGGTAGAAGTGCCCTCGGAGCATGTGATTGGCTGAATGTGAGGTAGAAGTGCCCTCAAGTGCCCTCGGAGTGTGTGATTGGCTGAATGTGAGGTAGAAGTGCCCTCGGAGCGTGTGATTGGCTGAATGTGAGGTACAAGTGCCCTCGGAGCGTGTGACTGGCTGAATGTGAGGTAGAAGTGCCCTCGGAGCGTGTGATTGGCTGAATGTGAGGTAGAAGTGCCCTCGGAGCGTGTGATTGGCTGAATGTGAGGTAGAAGTGCCCTCGGAGCGTGTGATTGGCTGAATGTGAGGTACAAGTGCCCTCGGAGCGTGTGATTGGCTGAATGTGAGGTACAAGTGCCCTCGGAGCGTGTGATTGGCTGAATGTGAGGTACAAGTGCCCTCGGAGCGTGTGACTGGCTGAATGTGAGGTACAAGTGCCCTCGGAGCGTGTGATTGGCTGAATGTGAGGTAGAAGTGCCCTCGGAACGTGTGATTGGCTGAATGTGAGGTAGAAGTGCCCTCGGACCGTGTGATTGGCTGAATGTGAGGTAGAAGTGCCCTCGGAGCGTGTGATTGGCTGAATGTGAGGTAGAAGTGCCCTCGGAGCGTGTGATTGGCTGAATGTGAGGTAGAAGTGCCCTCGGAGCGTGTGATTGGCTGAATGTGAGGTAGAAGTGCCCTCGGAGCGTGTGATTGGCTGAATGTGAGGTAGAAGTGCCCTCGGAGCGTGTGATTGGCTGAATGTGAGGTAGAAGTGCCCTCGGAGCGTGTGATTGGCTGAATGTGAGGTAGAAGTGCCCTCGGACCGTGTGATTGGCTGAATGTGAGGTAGAAGTGCCCTCGGACCGTGTGATTGGCTGTGGCACGATTGTACGTCAGATGACCCTCGAGATAATAGGCTTGTTCGACTTGAACCGGCGCTGCACAGACCGATCGGTGAATGACATCAAAATACCGCGAGAGCGATTAGAGAGTAGACGGCTCCGCATTCTGTACTTTGATGTCATAAACCGATCGGTCTGTGCAGCGCCGGTTCAAGTCGAACAAGCCTATTCTCTGCATTTATTCACGAGAAAGAGCTCGTTCAATCCAATCACTGCGCTGGATTACGCATGAGATCATCGCATTACAGCGGAGAATTCAAACATGCGCGCATGAGAGCGGTGTCTGGGCGTTACGCCGCGATGAGTTCAAGAACGCTCATAATGCGGATCATATCGCTCATGTACCAGCACCGTGTGTGCGCACGTCTTCATCAAATGAAATATATGTGCACATACGGACACTGATACAGCCGTACGTCTGATCACGAACGCGACGACGGGTTATTCTGATACACAGAACACAATGATGTAGAGCAGTGGTTCCCAAACCGGTCCTGGAGGACCCCCAACACTGCACGTTTTCTTAGTCTGGCTAATCAAACACAACTGGTTCAGCTCATCATCACATGGGTTAGGACAGGTCACTCCAGGACAGGTTAGGGAACCACTGATGTAGACCAACAACTCAAAGAACAGACAAAAAAGTAACTATGCCTGTATTCTTTCTGTTAAACTGAGCGTTGTGTGTTCAGAGACTGTAGTGCTCGTAAATGTAATGGAAATATTATTATTAGACCTTTTAAATGTTCTTCCACGTTTCTCCCTTGTTTTGGCAGTTTGTTATATAGGGTTAGATTTTTACCCCTCAACTCTGTTTTTTTTTCTCAGGTCATATTTTAATATGCTAATGAGTGTGTCAGGTCTGTGTTTTATTGGCTGTGGTCTCCCCTCTTCCCCCCTCTACTCTCCCACTTTTACACAGCTTTACACGCACATTTTTTGAGACTTTTTCCAACTCGCAGGAGTGAACAACCAGGCTAAAACGGGGATTTCATGAAAGGCAAAGAATAAAAAGTTTGTTAATTCATAAGATCTGTTGCGTACCATCCAGGAGCCCCTCATCATGAGTCCCATGAGCGCCGGCGTTCTGCTAACGGCCACCGCGGACAGAGCCGTCAAACACACACTTCCAGAGAAATACATGTATGTGGAGTGGATCCTGTCCTTCACATACTGAGGCCAGATCCTGTAAACACAGCTTCAGTTCATCAGGAGAAATGCTCTGGCTACCAATCTAACTCCAGTCACTGACTCAACGAGAGGCTCATTCATCAAGTTCATCAGATCTTTTGTTTCTGCCGGCATGATGAGATCAGGTCTAGCCTTCATGTCATTTAGGGGCCGTTTACACGACACCATTTTCAACTAAAAACTTTTTATGTTTTCTATTTTGGCCGCATAATCATTGACTTCATTTACACGACAACGGCGTTTTGGGGGCCTAAAAAAGCAAACTTTTGAGAACAGGATTCAAACTGCAAGTGTTTGTAAATGATCCCGTTATCATGTAAACATGCCCTTATAGTGTTAGAATGTGAAAGTGACTCTTACACTGCTTTCTCTATGGCTCCCATCTCGTTGGACATCCCGAAGCCGTAATAGCACAGCGCTCCCAGTCCCACAGCGGCGCCTCCCGCCAGGAACACCCGGCCCATGTTGTGCACTGCGGAGGAGAGACACTCTAGCAACACTCACATACACATCTTTCACTTATTTAGAGTTTGTAGGATTAGACATTGAAGGATGCTTTCGTTACAGAATGATCAGGGCCTCGTTTATCAAAAGTTGATCGTAGATGTATTAGTGGCAGTGCTTCTACGATCTACTTAGGCTTACGATGCTTTTGGGAAACGCAGCCCAGACTGGTATTAACATGCGTCTCAGCTGATCCGATCACAAGCTCTATAAATACAGGTGTGAACTGTATCTGAAACTGCACAGGTGTCTCCTCTCTAACGAGCCTAACGACGAGATCCAGCTGTGATCAGATCTCCTGAGACAGATGTTTTATACCAGGGCTGAACAACGGCAATAAAAACAAGTGAAAGTGGAGGAATCGTAACAGAAGAACACGTGAACAGAATTCACTTTTAATAGCGGTGTCAGTAGCGGGTTCGAACGCTGCCTCCTGAAACTGCTCTCTGGAAGTCTTGCTCCGCCGGAACCCCAGTCTCGTCTTGGTGGAATAACCCTGATCGGAAACAACACAACATTTAAAACAGATCCCACATGACTGGCTCTGGACTGTGTGTGTGTGTGTGTGTCAGTCTAGGTGAGGACAATACCTGTGTGGGTCTCATCAGGGGCCGACAGGAGCTGCGCAGGACAAACGGAGTCTGACCGAGGGCTGACCGGAGCCCAGCCACAGGGGCCGAGCGCAGGCATGACAGCCGTGAGACCAGCATCACTGTCCGCTAACCTGTGTTAAACATGCAGACATCAGGCCCGGGTTAAAGCGCAGACATCAGGCCCGGGTTAAAGCGCAGACATCAGGCCCGGGTTAAAGCGCAGACATCAGGCCCGGGTTAAACGCGCAGACATCAGGCCCGGGTTAAAGCGCGCAGACATCAGGCCCGGGTTAAACGCCCAGACATCACAGACATCAGGCCCGGGTTAAACGCGCAGACATCAGGCCCGGGTTAAACGCCCAGACATCAGGCCCGGGTTAAACGCGCAGACATCAGGCCCGGGTTAAACGCCCAGACATCAGGCCCGGGTTAAACGCGCAGACATCAGGCCCGGGTTAAAGTGCGCAGACATCAGGCCCGGGTTAAACGCCCAGACATCAGGCCCGGGTTAAACGCGCAGACATCAGGCCCGGGTTAAAGTGCGCAGACATCAGGCCCGGGTTAAACGCCCAGACATCAGGCCCGGGTTAAACGCGCAGACATCAGGCCCGGGTTAAAACGCCCAGACATCAGGCCCGGGTTAAACGCGCAGACATCAGGCCCGGGTTAAAGTGCGCAGACATCAGGCCCGGGTTAAACGCCCAGACATCAGGCCCGGGTTAAACGCGCAGACATCAGGCCCGGGTTAAACGCGCAGACATCAGGCCCGGGTTAAAGCGCAGACATCAGGCCCGGGTTAAACGCGCAGACATCAGGCCCGGGTTAAACGCGCAGACATCAGGCCCGGGTTAAAGCGCAGACATCAGGCCCGGGTTAAAGTGCGCAGACATCAGGCCCGGGTTAAACGCGCAGACATCAGGCCCGGGTTAAACGCGCAGACATCAGGCCCGGGTTAAACGCGCAGACATCAGGCCCGGGTTAAACGCGCAGACATCAGGCCCGGGTTAAACGCGCAGACATCAGGCCCGGGTTAAACGCGCAGACATCAGGCCCGGGTTAAACGCGCAGACATCAGGCCCGGGTTAAACGCGCAGACATCAGGCCCGGGTTAAACGCGCAGACATCAGGCCCGGGTTAAACGCGCAGACATCAGGCCCGGGTTAAACGCGCAGACATCAGGCCCAAGTTAAACGCGCAGACATCAGGCCCGGGTTAAACGCGCAGACATCAGGCCCAAGTTAAACGCGCAGACATCAGGCCCAAGTTAAACGCGCAGACATCAGGCCCGGGTTAAACGCGCAGACATCAGGCCCGGGTTAAACGCGCAGACATCAGGCCCGGGTTAAAACGCGCAGACATCAGGCCCGGGTTAAACGCGCAGACATCAGGCCCGGGTTAAACGCGCAGACATCAGGCCCGGGTTAAACGCGCAGACATCAGGCCCGGGTTAAACGCGCAGACATCAGGCCCGGGTTAAACGCGCAGACATCAGGCCCGGGTTAAACGCGCAGACATCAGGCCCGGGTTAAACGCGCAGACATCAGGCCCGGGTTAAACGCGCAGACATCAGGCCCGGGTTAAAACGCGCAGACATCAGGCCCGGGTTAAACGCGCAGACATCAGGCCCGGGTTAAACGCGCAGACATCAGGCCCGGGTTAAACGCGCAGACATCAGGCCCGGGTTAAACGCCCAGACATCAGGCCCGGGTTAAACGCGCAGACATCAGGCCCGGGTTAAACGCGCAGACATCAGGCCCGGGTTAAACGCGCAGACATCAGGCCCGGGTTAAACGCGCAGACATCAGGCCCGGGTTAAACGCCCAGACATCAGGCCCGGGTTAAACGCGCAGACATCAGGCCCGGGTTAAACGCGCAGACATCAGGCCCGGGTTAAACGCGCAGACATCAGGCCCGGGTTAAACGCGCAGACATCAGGCCCGGGTTAAACGCCCAGACATCAGGCCCGGGTTAAAGCGCAGACATCAGGCCCGGGTTAAAGCGCGCAGACATCAGGCCCGGGTTAAACGCGCAGACATCAGGCCCGGGTTAAAGTGCGCAGACATCAGGCCCGGGTTAAACGCGCAGACATCAGGCCCGGGTTAAACGCGCAGACATCAGGCCCGGGTTAAACGCCCAGACATCAGGCCCGGGTTAAACGCGCAGACATCAGGCCCGGGTTAAAGTGCGCAGACATCAGGCCCGGGTTAAACGCCCAGACATCAGGCCCGGGTTAAACGCGCAGACATCAGGCCCGGGTTAAACGCGCAGACATCAGGCCCGGGTTAAACGCCCAGACATCAGGCCCGGGTTAAACGCGCAGACATCAGGCCCGGGTTAAACGCGCAGACATCAGGCCCGGGTTAAAGCGCAGACATCAGGCCCGGGTTAAACGCGCAGACATCAGGCCCGGGTTAAAGCGCAGACATCAGGCCCGGGTTAAAGCGCAGACATCAGGCCCGGGTTAAAGTGCGCAGACATCAGGCCCGGGTTAAACGCGCAGACATCAGGCCCGGGTTAAACGCGCAGACATCAGGCCCGGGTTAAAGCGCAGACATCAGGCCCGGGTTAAACGCGCAGACATCAGGCCCGGGTTAAACGCGCAGACATCAGGCCCGGGTTAAACGCGCAGACATCAGGCCCGGGTTAAACGCGCAGACATCAGGCCCGGGTTAAACGCGCAGACATCAGGCCCGGGTTAAACGCGCAGACATCAGGCCCGGGTTAAACGCGCAGACATCAGGCCCAGGTTAAACGCGCAGACATCAGGCCCGGGTTAAACGCGCAGACATCAGGCCGGGGTTAAACGCGCAGACATCAGGCCGGGGTTAAAGCGCAGACATCAGGCCCGGGTTAAACGCGCAGACATCAGGCCCGGGTTAAACGCGCAGACATCAGGCCCGGGTTAAACGCGCAGACATCAGGCCGGGGTTAAAGCGCAGACATCAGGCCCGGGTTAAACGTGCAGACATCAGGCCCGGGTTAAACGCGCAGACATCAGGCCCGGGTTAAAGCGCAGACATCAGGCCCGGGTTAAACGCGCAGACATCAGGCCCGGGTTAAACGCGCAGACATCAGGCCCGGGTTAAACGCGCAGACATCAGGCCCAAGTTAAACGCGCAGACATCAGGCCCGGGTTAAACGCGCAGACATCAGGCCCAAGTTAAACGCGCAGACATCAGGCCCAAGTTAAACGCGCAGACATCAGGCCCGGGTTAAACGCGCAGACATCAGGCCCGGGTTAAACGCGCAGACATCAGGCCCGGGTTAAAACGCGCAGACATCAGGCCCGGGTTAAACGCGCAGACATCAGGCCCGGGTTAAACGCGCAGACATCAGGCCCGGGTTAAACGCGCAGACATCAGGCCCGGGTTAAACGCCCAGACATCAGGCCCGGGTTAAACGCGCAGACATCAGGCCCGGGTTAAACGCGCAGACATCAGGCCCGGGTTAAACGCGCAGACATCAGGCCCGGGTTAAACGCCCAGACATCAGGCCCGGGTTAAACACCCAGACATCAGGCCCGGGTTAAACGCCCAGACATCAGGCCCGGGTTAAACGCGCAGACATCAGGCCCGGGTTAAACGCCCAGACATCAGGCCCGGGTTAAACGCCCAGACATCAGGCCCGGGTTAAACGCCCAGACATCAGGCCCGGGTTAAACGCGCAGACATCAGGCCCGGGTTAAACGCGCAGACATCAGGCCCGGGTTAAACGCGCAGACATCAGGCCCGGGTTAAACGCGCAGACATCAGGCCCGGATTAAACGCCCAGACATCAGGCCGGGGTTAAACGCGCAGACATCAGGCCCGGGTTAAACGCGCAGACATCAGGCCCGGGTTAAACGCCCAGACATCAGGCCCGGGTTAAACGCGCAGACATCAGGCCCGGATTAAACGCGCAGACATCAGGCCCGGGTTAAACGCGCAGACATCAGGCCCGGGTTAAACGCGCAGACATCAGGCCCGGGTTAAACGCGCAGACATCAGGCCCGGGTTAAACGCGCAGACATCAGGCCCGGGTTAAACGCGCAGACATCAGGCCCGGGTTAAACGCCCAGACATCAGGCCGGGGTTAAACGCGCAGACATCAGGCCCGGGTTAAACGCGCAGACATCAGGCCCGGATTAAACGCGCAGACATCAGGCCCGGGTTAAACGCGCAGACATCAGGCCCGGGTTAAAGTGCGCAGACATCAGGCCCGGGTTAAACGCGCAGACATCAGGCCCGGGTTAAACGCGCAGACATCAGGCCCGGGTTAAACGCGCTGACATCAGGCCCGGGTTAAACGCCCAGACATCAGGCCCGGGTTAAACGCCCAGACATCAGGCCCGGGTTAAACGCGCAGACATCAGGCCCGGGTTAAACGCGCAGACATCAGGCCCGGGTTAAACGCGCAGACATCAGGCCCGGGGTTAAACGCGCAGACATCAGGCCCGGGTTAAACGCCCAGACATCAGGCCCGGGTTAAACGCGCAGACATCAGGCCCGGGTTAAACGCCCAGACATCAGGCCCGGGTTAAACGCCCAGACATCAGGCCCGGGTTAAACACCCAGACATCAGGCCCGGGTTAAACGCCCAGACATCAGGCCCGGGTTAAACGCGCTGACATCAGGCCCGGGTTAAACGCCCAGACATCAGGCCCGGGTTAAACGCGCAGACATCAGGCCCGGATTAAACGCGCAGACATCAGGCCCGGGTTAAACGCGCAGACATCAGGCCCGGGTTAAACGCGCAGACATCAGGCCCGGGTTAAACGCGCAGACATCAGGCCCGGGTTAAACGCGCAGACATCAGGCCCGGGTTAAACGCGCAGACATCAGGCCCGGGTTAAACGCCCAGACATCAGGCCGGGGTTAAACGCGCAGACATCAGGCCCGGGTTAAACGCCCAGACATCAGGCCCGGGTTAAACGCCCAGACATCAGGCCCGGGTTAAACGCGCAGACATCAGGCCCGGGGTTAAACGCGCAGACATCAGGCCCGGGTTCACAGACAGGACTTAGATTAAACCAGGATTAGACCTTAGTTCAATTTGGACATTTAAGTAGCTTTTATAAACATGCCTTAGATAAAAACATTACTTGTGTGCATCTTGAGACAAAACATTGGCACTGACTTAATTTAAGAAAAGTTGTTTTCAGTTAAAACATCATAAACGTGTATTTTAGTCTGGACTAGATTAATCCTGTTCTGTGAGACCGAGGGAAGAGCTGATACTCGTTCCTTACAGCAAAGACACAGAGTAAATACAGTCTGTATAAACGGCAAGACAGGACAATAAAAAATGTATTATTCAACTACAAACTCATATTCAATAGTATGAATGTTAGATTTGTCAAATATGAGTCCAGTGGCTCTTATGTAAAACATTCCTAAGAACAACATTTACACTTTCTTCTTCTTGTTGTTTAATGGCGATCAACTCCAGAGGAGCATTATCGCCGACATTTACACTGTAATTAATGTAAAACATTACGTTTAAAAGTAAAACTCACCAGTCGTTCTGTTATCTAATTTCACCTTCGAGATGCGTCTTCACCACTGACGCAACACAGTAATAAACAACTCCCGGAACCTTCCTGAGTGACGTCACACGACAGCGACAGCCGCGCAATGCACTGTGGGTCTTGAAGTTGTTGAGTTAACTTTTAATCATTATGTTCCGCGTGTTTATTCATTTTTTAATATTCATAAACCAGAATAACCAGAGGGAAGATACAAATAAATAAAGCACTGTCTGATACTGTTAAGAATGAACAATAATTTAAATGATTCACATACCCAGTATTTTCACTGCTTTCCTTTTTATTTATGGGTGTAAAACTTAGCAAGTAAGAAAATGTAATATATTTTAAAATAGTCTTTCTTTACATCAGTCATTAATCAGCAAAGCTAACATCATTTACACAATAATTTGAAAATTATGGTTTTTAATGAATCTTTATGTATTATATGATAAAGAGACAATTGGACTAAATCAAAATTTTAAATCGATTCACATGTAATATAATAATGAAACCTGTTGTTTTATTCAAATATGAGCAAACAGTCATACTCTTTTCAGCAGTACTTTATTGCAATAATCAGACACATCTTGTTCAAACAATGAGTGAATTATCTTTTCTTATTTCTACGAGGAAATACATATTCTACCTTGCTGTCATTATGATTAGAGTAAGAAGCTAATAAAATAAATCAATAAGTGGCGTTTGTGCAGAAGTAGACTCGCTGACGTCATGGCTCACGTGACGCGCGGCTCTCTCTCGCTCGCTCTCTCTCTCTCGCTCGCTCTCTCTCTCTCTCTCTCTCGCTCTCTCTCTCTCTCTCTCTCTCTCTCTCTCTCTCTCTCTCTCTCTCTCTCTCTCTCTCTCTCTCTCTCTCTCTCTCTCTCTCTCTCTCTCTCTCTCTCTCTCTCTCTCTCTCTCTCTCTCTCTCTCTCTCTCTCTCTCTCTCTCTCTCTCTCTCTCTCTCTCTCTCTCTCTCGCGTTTATGTGAATCTCAATCAAAGCGAACCTTTTGCGTTTAAAACCAAATGCATGTCGATCCGCTCATATTTGGGAGTTTTATTTGTATTCCAAATCATTTTCAGAGCTGTGTTTGGGTCATTCCTTAATTGAATAGTTTTAATATGTTACAACGCCGGCCGCGAATGATTGTTGAATGATGGATTCGCATGTTTTAAAACTATTGAACATTGAATTTTACACACCGTGATCTGGATACTGTATTTTCCACCAAGCGAGCGAGGAAACGGTACAGTATCATCATCTTCATCATCTTCGTCATCATCAGATGTGTATTTATCCCGTTTGATTGTCATGAATGATTTTCTGTCTGTCACTGATATAATAACATGGTTTTGAATTTTCAGTGATATTGTAACAGAATCAGTGTAACGCGACTGCATTATAATTATTATTATAACCATTGTATATCAGGGAATAGATGATAATCATATCGTATAATATCCGTCACCAATAATATCTGCATTTACTGGAGATTTGGTGGAAAGAGTCTGAAGCGGAGGATGTTTTTATCACAGATATATGTCATGTATTCTGTCAGCCAGTCTCTAGTGTGTGTGTGTGATCCAGAGTCTCCATAGTGTGTGTGTGTGTGTGTGTGTGTTTGTGTGTGATTCAGTGTCTCTAGTGTGTGTGTGTGTGTGTGATTCAGTGTCTCTAGTGTGTGTGTGTGTGTGTGTGTGTGATGCAGTGTCTCTAGTGTGTGTGTGTGTGTGTGTGTGTGATGCAGTGTCTCTAGTGTGTGTGTGTGTGTGTGTGTGTGTGTGTGATCCAGAGTCTCTAGTGTGTGTGTGTGTGTGTGTGATCCAGAGTCTCTAAAGCGTGTGTGTGTGTGATCCAGAGTCTCTAAAGCGTGTGTGTGTGTGTGTGTGTGTGTGTGTGTGTGATCCAGAGTCTCTAAAGCGTGTGTGTGTGTGTGTGTGTGTGTGTGTGTGTGTGTGTGTGTGTGTGTGTGTGTGTGTGTGTGTGTGTGTGTGTGTGATCCAGAGTCTCTAAAGCGTGCACTCAAAAAAATGATATGTTGGCTTTACTTAACTTTTTTAAGTAAACAGGTTCCAGCGGTTCCACATAACTATGTTTCGTTAAACAAACATAATATGTTCATGTAACTTCAACATCATTTTAAGCGACCCAATTAAACTCTGAGCTAAAGAGTTAATTAAGTGAATAACTGAGTGATGATTGAGCATTATTGAAGACACCTGATGTTAACAAGCAGAATCTCTGAAGGAGAGAACCGGAATGTTTAAGTCACCATTATGGAGATAAGTGTGTGTTTTAGTTGGGCTCTTGACCATTAACTTATTAACTTTAGATTTTGTTTGGTTGCCGTTCATGAGTTATAACAGCCGGATGAACAATGAACTAAGGTCATCTGATAGTGTTGGTTGTGATTTAACATAATCATTATTTCACAATCATTTGACCTCAATCACTGAACTTATATTAAACCGAATTTCTGAGTTAAGTTTACCTTACGAATAATAGCAGCACTGTCATGTAGAGCAGTGGTTTTCAAACTTTTTCAAGAGGGACCCTTTTTTTTTTTTTTTTTTTTTTACGCGACCCATAGGCTTGTGCGCAGAATTTGTTTTCTTTAACCTTTCTTTAAGCACTTTTTTTAACCACTTTACTTTTGATGATGCACGTGCACTTGCTGATCCTTGACGCGATTGCAACGCAAAGTCGATTCTAAAATAATTTGATCAAGCTATAGGCCTACATACAGGACTTTTAACCAATAAATAGCTTCTCGTTTGCTGAATGCTTAAAAAATACAAATACACAAAACATATTCCACAACAAACTCTTTAAATGTAATATTAATTATATACAGAACAGAACAAGAATAAAAAAATAATAACTAAACAAGCCAAAACGAAATAATTTAAAGGGAAAGTAAAAGGGGCATTATGCTCACGTAGCCTAACTCTCTCATTAGAATCAAAATATTTTAACATTCGCGATGTATTTGATGGTAAACTATTCTTTATTATAGGCGTTGTAGCAACTTCACTCACGTTGCAATATCGACAGGAAAAAAAATCATCCTTTTCACATGCGCAAAAATGTGCTTGGAAACATCACGGTTGAGCGGTGCTTACGCTGAATGGTACGAATTGACTATTTAAACAGAGCAGTGTGATTTTTATATTAGGTTGACTATTTTATTGTCATATTTTTATTTCGGCTATAATGAACAGGCTGCGATGTCAAGCCTGGAATGGTGTATTTGTGTGTGTGTGTGTGTGTGTGTGAGGCGCGGCACTGGAAACAAAAAATATACTCCGTCGTTCATACAGGACATCATTCAAACTGCGAAGTGTTTATTTATACGTGTGTACACTCGACACAACATTGTTAAAACACAACATTGTGGTTTTGTCAAACTGTAAACTCTTGTCAAACTTAACTGTCACCCAACCAAAATCACACACAATTTAAAAGCAAACTTATTTATAATTCAAATGAGAATAGGGCTGTCAACGAATATTCTAAATTCGAATAGTTTTAAAAAACAGAATTTCGAATGTGAAAATTAATATTTGAATGTGGAAAAACACGCCCGCGGTATCAGAGGCGCGGCTGTCTGCTTTGCGAGTGCACGCGCTGCCTGAGGGATCAGGGACAGGTCACAAGAGTCGCACTGGCACAGCTGAAAGTTTTTTATTTCTTATTCTTATTTATTGAATGAATAAGGTAGGTTAGATACAGCAGTTCCATGCATCGCAGGCTTCACTGGTTTGATTATTTACCGTTTCATGTCAAGGAAAAGTTCCATGTTTACCACAGCACAGCTCGCTCGGGGCGTTCAATGTCGGTTCTTTAAAACTTCAATTAATGTTAATAATATTTGTTTCAATCACTGAATGAAGCCTGCTATATTTGGGACAAGAGTCGCGACCTTAAATTGCTTGCACAAAACTCTTGATTAGCACTCAACATTTGTTTATTGTTGTTGTTGTTCATTTAAACCGTTATGCGCAGAGAGCGTGAGGTGAGGGAGAGAGAGAGAGAAAGAGTGCCTAGCGAGAGTGAGGTCTGCGGTCTTGGCCATTAGTTGATTTAGGCTACTTGTTTTTGTGTAGGTAATACGTTGTCAAATATGTTTAAACTTAAATAAACTACCTAAACAAGTAGTTATGTCTCTTTGTATTAATTTGACCTGTTATTGACGTAATGCGCGTCATTGACAAAATGCACAACCAGATGTTCGAATAGTTCGAATATAGCCTATGTGTTTTTTTAGATGGATTTTTTAGAACGTAATTTTTGAGTAGCCTAATTTTGACAGCCCTAGGAAGGAACGACGAGTGTTAGTGTGTTGTTGCCGATGGAGCGAACGTGTGTGTGTTGCGGGTGGAGCGAACGAGTGCGTGTTTTGTGTAGCTATATTAATGAGAAGGGCCTGCTTATTCTGTATAATCTGGTCC